TATGTTTTTTTTGAAAGAAGGAAGTTATAATTTAAGGGGTTTTTGTAACTTCAAAACAATGAAGGTACGTACTACAAGAAAAGGCTTTTGTGTTTCTGTTCAAGGAGTGAAACTATGGAACAAACTGAATATGGAATTAAAGCAAAGTCCAAACATAAAACTGTTCAAAAAGAGTTATAAAAATATGATCTTCTCGATCTATAAAGAAAAGGAAAATATTTAAATTAAGTGAATGTCTCTATTTAAAAACAAACAAACAATAAATTCATGATGTGATATTATAGTATATAGTATATCAGAAATCTGTTCACTATTTTTATTACAAATTATATCAGTAAGGAAGCTGACTAAATATTCACTGATAATTTATGGGACAGGGGTGGGATTAAATAAGTGTATACTTCTTCCCACTCCCTTTCAACATGTAAATTAATCAGAATGTTTTTTTGTATGTAATTTGTATAGTATATTTTTTTTCTCTCATTTCTTCTCTAAATGCACTTGTATATTGTTCACATGTTGAAATAAATTACCAATCAATCAATCAATCAATCAACTTACAGTGAATATTAAGTTTTGTAAGTTTGTTTTAAATATATAAAATAAATTGTGAAGTAAACTGAACAAGATAAAATAAAGATATTAGTGCATTTCTTCATGAGAAATTTAACTTCAGCCTTATATTGTTTTGTATTATTCTTTAGACTAACTGACTATAAGTGAATGGAACTAAATGTCTAAAATAATTATCAATTCTCTTGGCTTCTAAACACAGAAACACACATTTTATCTTTTGCTAATACAGTAACAATAAGCAATTTAAATAATTTTCTCTTATGACCTTAATTCTTTAGTATGACCTTTAGCCCATAAAATATTAGCATTGTGCTAATGCATGCTGATAATTACACAGCTGAAGTGCAGGTACACCACAATACAAACTTCCATATTTGTACAAAGAAGCTGGTTAGGGTGGCTGAATGATGCTATCCTCTAGCTAAACTTCTCGTTCACCTCACTAAATTTACATTTTTGGGCTACAGCTCCACAACTGTCCAGCTTCATTCTGAACTATCATTCAAGTGTTTCCCTGTGAAGCCAGAAGTCCAGAGAGTTCTTGGTGTTATATTTTAATATTCTGTTGGTCACCTGCAGGATAATGTTTATCTTACTGTTGCAGATTAAGACTGGCGCCCCCTGCAGATCTGAGCGGCTGGCCAAGTACAACCAGCTCATGAGGTCAGTGTGCTGCAGACAGAGAGGTCTCTCTCTCTCTCTCTCTATATATATATATATATATATGTATATATATATGTATGTATTTAATGTGAAAACATTTTGAATCTAGAATTAAAATAACTCCAAAAACAGTCCTTTTCTTCAGTATTTACTCATGAATTCCTAATTGGTCCTCTGGCCTGTTGAATGTTTAGTAGCCCCTTTTTTTAGCTCCAGATCAGGCGGCAGCATTACAGTGCAGCTCCTCAGGTGCCTGCTCTGTCCTAGTGCTTACCATCAGAGAGCTAATTGACATGACAGGCGACAGGAGCGCTGGTGTCACCCCATGTGCCCAAGCCAGTCAGTGGCAGGGGGAGGTGGGAGGAGGAGACAGGAGGGAGGGAGATTGGATCGGCTCAGCGGTGTAATCCCATTGGACTGCTGAGGACCTGTTAAGGGTGCAGAGACTTAACGGGGGCATTAACGAGCAATAAATGCTAATCAGCGCAATCGAGCGTGAACACACACACGTGAGAATCTGTTGTGCAGCAGGTAGATGCTGTAACATGAGCTTTTTAACAATGGAAAAACTGAGTTGTGATTTGCATTTTCGCATACATCCTGTTTTATTTTTTATATGACCAATGATCTTCTAAAGTTGATTATTTTGCTTTTATCTAGGGATATAAATGGATTATTTTGCCTGCAGCTGTGGTGCAGTGACGTGGCAGCTTGTCAGATTTTTGTTGATTTGTTGAAGTTTTTATGCAAAGCAGATTATAAGTAAGAAGGCTGTGCTGGACATGCAGATATTATTTTCAATATATATGATCACATGTCGCCAGTGCAAAGAATATAAACTCTTCCTGGTTACAGGCTGACCTTATGAAGAAGAACAGAAATTATTTCCTTCAAAAACAATTAAAAAATGTTGTTTTTGTTTCTGTCTTCCTGCCACTGTAGGATTGAGGAAGAGTTGGGCGACCAGGCTCGCTTTGCAGGCCATAACTTCAGGAACCCCAGCGCTCTGTGAAACTGACTGACGAATGACTTGCAATGACACACACACACACACACACACACATACACACACACACACACACACACAAGGAACGAGCCATGTATAAGGACAGATTACAGATAAGCAAAAGAAAATAGCTAAAAATAACTAAATAAATAAATTATGCACTGAACTTAAAGGTAGGGAGATGAAACTGTATGCACACACACACACACTCACACACACACACAGTGAGCAGATGCAACACGTGTAACGCACATGCAGGGGAATAACATAAAATCTGAATATTTATAAGCCAGACATGCACTGTTACTGTAGTTTTAAAGGAGTAGTTTATGTACAGCCAGAGGACAGACCTGCAAAAATAAAGATTAACATTGTAAACACAGAGAAAATAATGAGTAAAGATATCAGAAAACCATGAAGACTAATGCTCGCAACTGACAGAGAACGATGCATTTGTAAGGAAAGCAGCAGTTTCAGGGATGGAGTGAGGCTAATAACTACACACTGTAAACACCTGAACACTTACACACTCTGCTATGTCACACTCTTACCTGGACACTCGAGTACCTGCACTCCTCCCACTTCTGTCCTCTTCTTTCTCTCTATTTTCGTCTCCTTGTTCTTCTTGTCGTGTCTGTCTCTCGGTTCCAGTTGCTCCCTTTTCTTCTCGCCCAGACGTGATTCTGATTATTTGTCCTTTGTCCATGCTTGAGATCCTGCCTCTTTCTCAGAGAAAAAGAAGATAGAATATATGAACCCCGAGTCCCTTTGTTCCTTCGGTTCCTCCTGAATGTCTTTAGAATAGCTGTGATCAAAAAAAGAAGAAAGAAAAAAAAACACTTAAAGAGAACGCTTGTCATTGAAAATAATGTGAAAATATGTGAAATAAAAAAGATGGTAATTTACAATTTCAAACACAGCTGAAGGAGTTTTGTCGTTTTGTGTCTGAATCTTTTTTTCAGTGAAATGTCAGAATATGAACATGTGGAGGTTTTTTGTATTTTTTACAACTTGTTCAGCTCAACAGCCAACGAGCTCTGCCAGGGTGAGGCATCTGTTTTCCCTCAGTCCACAATTCACACAATTCACCGCTTATTTTACAGTAAGCATGTGAGCAATGCAGTCAAACCTGCACACATTGATCACTAACGGGTCATCACTCAAACTGTGAAGATCAAGATCACATTTGGTGATATACTCGCAAAAGCTGTGAATTGTGATGAATATGAGCTCCTACTGATCTTCTGGTTTTTAGGTCCCAGTTTAGTTCAGTAAGTTATGTATTTTGCTATTTGATGTGATAATATTTAAAACTGCAAACTGGCTTAAAACTATAGCATCTGCTTGGGGAACTTATAATCAATATACCTTCGACAATACAGGAGACTTTTTTTCCATGAAATTAAAATTGTACCATTAACATGTGACTGAAGGACCAACGGTGTTCAGCCATTATTTTGTTGCTCCAGTCCGTCCACGTTTCTTCTGAGAGCTCAGCTTTATCCTCTGGTGACGACTGCTATCATGGAGTCATGAAGGGAGCTCCTGGAGGGCAGTGCCTCCATTCAGAGGAATCACTGAGAGGATGGAAACAATGTCACCTGATGGAACAGCTACGATCTCTGGCCATTTCATTAGGTACATCAGTTCAGCTGCGTGTTAACACAAATATCTAATGAGCAAATCACATGGCAGCAACTTATTGCACGTTGACATGTTCAGGATGACCTGCTGAGCTCAATCTGAGCAGACGGGGGGAAAAATTTTATTTAAGTGAACTGAAGCTATTTACCAGATTAAAATTGTTTTTTACATTTTCTAAAACATGTATTAAATCAAGAGGATTTATGAAGAAAACCAGTTTTAAATGATTAAAAACAGCCTGGGCAGCAATACATGTGACTAAACAGACTCAATCAACTTGTCAACCAACACATGTATTTGATCAGATATGACATCGGTCAGCACAGACCCAGAAAGCAGAGCGATTTCCTGTGATGATAACGGAGCCAGCTCTGTTGTGAACTCGTGATAGAGCCAACAGTGAAAACGTTTGTGTCTGACATGATGAGTTAAAAAAGAAGAACAAAAACGCAATATGACCCTTTAAAAAAACCTTTTATGAAGTACTAGTTTCAAGGATTCTATACTAATCAAATATTATTCTAAAAAAATATAAATGCAAAGGAAAAATGCTTTAACTTGTTTTAACTGCTCATAAGTCACATTTAGGTTTCTTTAAAAGCATTTGAAAAGGACAGTAAACCACAAAATAAAATACACTTTTTCCACATTTATTTATTTTGTCTTTTTACTTCTTGCATCATTTATTTCCCTGATTTCTTCAGTCAGTGTTAAACCACAACTCCTCACAGCTCAGTACCTGCAGACATCTTTGTTTTATCATTTCAAGTAAATTCTGTCTGAAACTTTATTTGTTAAAGACCTAAAGTATCAGTTAGTGCAGTTAGGTGAGACACATAAAGTCAAACACATGAAGCAGCCTGGGCTGACCGATCCCCTGATTCTCTAAGTTCACCTCAGTTTAGCAGCAAATAAAGAATTTAAAAGGAAACTTTACATGGATCACATGAATCACATGCCTCAGTGGATTTCCAGTTTTTAATCTTAATTATCTAAAGTTTCCTTATTTATTGAAGTCAGGAAAATAAAGAATGGAGTGAAAAACATCTTTTCTTAAAGGTATTTAGTAGTTTAAATATTCAACAACCTCCTCTGGTTTAACTGGATCAGTCAGCCCAGTTTGCAGAAACAAGGTGATACACGGTGCAGATCTAAAGGGCAGGGTGTTTTCCATCGATCCTGCTGTAGTAGTTGTGCATTTGTTATGCACGTGCGTTGATGATGTCGACAAACTCTGGCTTCAGAGAGGCCCCGCCCACCAGGAAGCCATCCACATCGCCCTGAGACGCCAGCTCTCTGCAGTTTGCTCCTGTGACCGAACCTGGAGAGAGTGGCAAAATTAAACCGACCTGTGACGTCTGCAGAGGTTGTACATGTTAATAACACCATTATTTCATGTATATGAAATTGTTGCACCATCATTGAACCTAACACAATCCTACTGTAAAGTTTGCTTTAGTTATGCTCACTGACCTCCGTAGATGATGCGTACAGAGTCGGCCACATCATCGGAGACATTTGCTCTGAGCCACGCCCTCAGCTTCTCGTGGACCTCCTGAGCCTGCATGCATTGATTAAAATGAGACCTATGCATAAATGAATGCTCCAAACCTCAATGAATTGAAGCGATGCACAATAACATGAGAGACTGATGAAGTCATACAGAAAATACTTCATACCCTGTGTAAACTCTCTTTTTCACATGTGACTGCAAAACTAAAAAGACTAGAAAAAAATGAGTTTGTGTTCATGAACAGAATCATTAAACAGTCACATCTTCAAAATCAACTCCCAGGATTCATTTCCACGGAGCACAGACTTAAATCATATAACAATTATGTTACGTGTGCAGCCGATTTGCCCGTGTGTGCAGTTATGTAAAACTAGATATTAAAACATGACAAAGATAAAAATTGGAAATAGGGCTAAACATCCCACTGGACTGGATGTAATGTGAGAAGTTATGATTATTTATGTGCTCACTTATGGGCCTTGTAGTTATGTGGCTGCGGTATTACCTGCTCAGGTGTGGCTGTCTTTCCTGTGCCAATGGCCCAAACAGGTTCATATGCCAGCACGACATTCCCCCAGTCTTTTACATTCTCTGCAACCAAACATCATTCAGGCATAAACATCGATAAGTAACGGTGTGATCGCAGACCCGCATCTACAATCCATTCTCAAGGTGCTTTATCAGCTGCCACCTGCAGCCAGTCATTTGGGCTGCAGCAATATCATGTTAAAGACCTGCAAAGTCTGTATAAAGAATATGGAAGGATAATGGTGGAAAAGACAACAGTTTATCAGCCGAGAGGCCACATTTCACATACATCACAATGCCATAAAACAGGATTATGCCTGACCTCTACCTTAATAATTAACATGGTTATCATTTCTTCAAAAACAAATCTGTCTGGTGTGTTTCTTCTTTAAAAGGTTTTCCTACCTTTCAGAAAGAATAAGCAAACCTTAGTATGCAAACTCAAAAGGTCCTTTCTGATCAGGCAACATCCTAAAAGCAGACCACGGCTGCAAGCTGCCATCAGTTCTCCACCTTTGTTGGCTTTAAAGCTGCAAAGCCTGCTTTAACAGAGGCAGCTGTGTCTGTTGAAGGCAGAGACCACTGACCTATTTACATTTTAAATCAGCACGTGGCCTACTTTCAGTACAGAAGCAGAATACAGGAGGCCAAGATGGAACCAGGGAAAAGATCATCAATCAGGTCTTGTAAAGCCTCAGTGCAGACAGAACAAATCCAGAAGCAAAAGGAACTCGTTTTTCTATCTTTATGCACAGAATAAAAACAGAGTAGAATCCAGCAGTTCACTTTTATGTTTCTGTAACAGTTTTTTTGTCATTATTCATAATCAGAGAAACATTTGAACCATTAAATAACCAAACTTTTGATCTAAAGAACATAATAGTACAAAAAAGGTGTAAATACATCCGATTTATTTCAAACTGCTCGTTTTCCTTCAAAATATTATGTAATGAATCTCGTTATTAGTTATTACAACTTTGTTTAAATGAAATATTTGAGTAAATAACTAATTATTTTAATTTTACATATATATGTACAAAAAGTACAAACATAATAGCGCAACAATAATCATGAATAATAATAATAATAATAAAGTAATAAAACATTAGAATAAGAAACTTGAGAAATGAATGACTTATTTTTTTTCCTGTAAAGGTAAAAACAAAGTTTTAGCCATAAAAAAAGATGCAAAAATAATATAAAGCAGAAAAGCTAAAATAAAACTAAAAAAAAAAAAACAGATCATGAAAGCCCAGAAAAAAAAAAAAAAAAACAAAGAAAAAATGTTAATATTTCTCTTGTATTTACCTGCAATGACCTGCGTCTGAGCATAGACGACTTCTTCGGTGGTTCCTGCCTCTCGCTCCTCCAGCTTCTCACCAATGCAGGCGATCACACCCAGATCGTTCTCCAGAGCATGAGCCACCTGAAACGGCAACAAAGTCAGAGTCTACCTGCACGAACAAGCTGCCATCACTGTGGTGGCATCAGATGAACATATGAACCTGTTTTATGCTGATACAAAATTCTGTTGTGCAAACTCTTACAAAGAAATGTGCCCTTGAAATCCAGATAATTGGAAAGTTCTGTGATTCTCACCTTCTGGCCAATCAGCTCATCACTTTCCCCAAACACATGACGGCGCTCCGAGTGTCCCAGGAGCACCCAGTCTGCCCCGCAGTCCCTGATCATGGCTGGGCTGGAGGGAGAGGAAACATGTAGGACAGCCCATGTCAACTCTACGTATATTGACGTGAAAAATTTTAATGCAATTTGGCTCTTGAAGTTCCTTTTTTTGTTAGGGATGGTTTGTTTTTTGTTGAGTACAATGTTAAAATAAGTTCTTTAAAGAGCAAAAAATTATTTAATATGAAGGCAATGTGAGCAGAGAGTCCAAACATGTTGAAGGATTAGCTGTGTTAGTTCAGTGAAAGAGTTAACACTAGCAGTCAAAAATAAAGAACAAATTATTTCCTTTCATATGTGCAAAATGTGCACAAACTTGCTGACGTCAACAATTTAATTTGTTTTCCAGTGAGTGTCTCATAGAGCAACTAGTTTAAATTATGCTCAGCAAGCAAAACAAAAAGGTGGAGGAAGGAGAAAAATCAGGAGCAAGAACAGGACTTTGTATGTGAGAGAGAGACTTTAAAAGCTGCTCCACTGGAACTGATTGTTGAATAAGAAACTCTATTAATGAGTGTGTTTGTTATGCAGTGATCCATCCCGTCAGTTTGTGAGGACCTGTGGCTGATGGGATTCTCTCTTTTGCCCCATGTTTATGGACATTACAGCTGTCTTTCTTGATGTTATGAGTCTATAGCACAAGCTTAAATAATAACCTCTGGATGTGGTCGCTGTCCGTGGTGCTGATCAAAAACTGTAATGGTTCTATTGATATTATCTTTACACAAATTTTGTGTGTGTGTGTTTGTGTATGTGTAAGAGAGACAGCAAATGGGAGATGCTGTGTTTGCACCTGTACAACATAACAGAAATAATATCCGCCCCGAGGCCGATCACAGAGTGGGTATGCCTGTGAGCACAGCATTATATATAAAGTATTTGAGTTAGGAGAGATACCTGATCTCTCCAGTAAACGCTCCCTTGGCCACCTTGTAGCAGTTCTGTGCTGCGACGGAGATCCTGGGATCCAGATTGGATCGGGCAAAGTCCAGGTAGATGGAGGGAGCGGCACAAACCACCTCTGAAATCAGACAGAATGACTGGTGTTTGCTGTGATGATTGTCTGAGTTTTACTTTTATTCATTAGTTAAACCAGTGTAAAAGCTCTAAGAGCATTATTGTTGATGTAAATGCTTCTTTGCTCTGATCGTTTTCAACTGTTATACCTGAATAAATGAAGGGAAAACCTGAATTCTGCATTTACAAACACCTACTGCATTTGAAACAATCCGGAGACCCTGAGAGGCAGTTAAATGGACATAGAGCTAAACTGTGATTCTGGCTGGAGACTGAAATGATTTCATCTAACTGAAGATTACGATTGCTTTCATCACCAACCGCCTCCAGCAGCCTGCCTCATTTTAAAGACATTAAGAAACAGTCATGAAGACACTGTAAGAGAAAATAAATTAATGCAGAGCTGCTTAAATATAGCAAAGAGAATCGGTTACTTTGGTCAATAATTATTTAACACAGAGAAACTGTGTGTTTTAATCATCGTTTCATGCATATGTATCTGTTCTGTTCTGGACTGCGTGAAAGCAAAAGAAAAGAATTCATTTTTAAAAAGTGCTTTATCTCAATTGTCTGGTTTTAAAAACTCCTTGAATAAAATTTGAGTAGTTGCACACTCCTATGTACAAGCCCTTATCATAAGCATATGTTGTTGTTCAGTGATGCAGCAGGCTTGTTCTTCAGTAATTGAGCCTACATGAGCATGAATGAGTGTGTGAAGACAGGCTAAAGACTTTGTTTTTGCAACAAAAAAACAACAACAACAAAAAACATCAGTGTGTAAAAAGTAAATAAACTGCTGGGTCACACAGTTTTATGTCAGAGTACAGCATATTAGTACAAAAAAATCCTTGATTCAAAGATTTGGTGTTCAGTATTTGGTTCTTTGTCTACTTTAAGTCAGGCGCTCTAAAACGACCAAACTGAAAACACAAATGAGCCTCAAAAATGTCTGACTGGTGGAGGGAACCCAAGCTGTGAACTGTGTGAAGACACAGGGACTGTTCACAGACTCAGTGGACTAACATCAGCTGTCAAGCACAGCAATAAAAACCATGATTTAGGTTCCATTTGATGGGGAAAAGTACGAAGAGGCAGAAAATTAATTCCTCAAAGTGAAGTGAGAGAATGAGGCCTTCATGTGACGCCTCCTGATCACGTGACTTTCAATGTCACTGTGTCACCTGTGAAGCATCAGCAGCATCCCCCCCCCCCCCCCCCCCCCTCCTCCTCTGTCAGCCCCTCCCACGTCACCAATCACAATCGCTTTTATTGATCCCCTCTAACCGCCACACACAGTCAGTCAGCGGTCCCGGCAATAATCTGGGGCTGTTACCGGTCTCGTCGTGCAGGCTGGCGGTGTTCAGGGTGCTGATGAGCTCTCCAAGACTCTCTTTGTTCCCGTTCATCTTCCAGTTTCCACCCACGAAGAACTTGCGAAGCGCCATGGCCGGCGAATATTAGCTGGTAGCCGGTGAGGAGAGGAGCTGGAGTCCGGCCGGTGTGCAGGTCAGGTGATGCCAGAAATATCAGCTCCAAACACCGGCAAACGTCCTTCTTCTTCTGCGTGGGATTATGAAGGCAGTCGCAGAGCTTCACGGGACGTTACCTCCACCTGCTGTACAGAAGTTGTCCTTCCCACCATGGATGCAAAAGTATAAAGTACACGTACATTCACGGGGTATTCTCATGGAAACCGCTCAGAAATGTTAAGATTTTGCATTAAGCTTCTCGTGGCATTTTTTGTTCGTTGTTTCTGTTCTCTGGTTGTCTCTACTTTCAGTTTTATTTTTTCCAATAAAAAGAGACAAAAGACACAAAGTCAAACATGAGTGTTGACAATATAACAATTTTATTGTTATTTATATTTTCAGTAATATTGTTATTGTGAATCACTTTGGGCATGATGATCATGTAAAATAAACCGTTTACACAGGATTTAAATGGATGGAACTTGGAATAATCAGACCTCCTTTAAAGTTATCAATATTTTACTTTGGTCAGTAATATTTAATTGATTCAGTTCACAGTAATTATAATACCTTGAAAATATATTTTCCAAATTTACAATCATAATATGTAAAAATTGGATGTTTTTATTGTGAAAATCATGCCAAAAATACCATAAAATCACAAGCAAGTCATTACTGTAACATTATATTCTGTCTAAATTATACATTTTGCTAAATTGTACCTTTATGTACCAAACTTTTGACTATTCAGAAAACTCGTACCTTACATGACGTTTATGTTTGTTAAATAACTTAAATCCATCCATTCTCTTCTGCTTGTCCAATTCAGGGAGAGGCGGGATACACCCCGGACAGGTCGCCAGTCTGTGGCAGGGCTAACACATAGAGACAGACAACCATTCACACTCACATTCCCACCTATGGGCAATTTAGAATGACCAGTTAGCCTAATCCCACTAATAGTCTTTGGTCTATGGGAGGAAGTCAGAGTACTCAGAGAGTTCCCACACAAACTTCACACTGAAAGACCCTGGCCTGATGGCGAGTTGAACTCAGGACCTTCTTAGTAATGTGAGCAGTGGTCTTTTTGTGAGCTTTTTAAACTTTTTGAATGATATATATATTTTTTTTAATTTAGCTTCTCTTCATTGATTTTCTGAAAGAGAATGGAGGTTTTCTGGAACAACTTCAATGACGCCCAAAGTGCATAGAGAAGAACAAGGGTCTGAAGCTCCAGCAACACTTATAGTATAAAGAACAGCTTTATTATTTGACCAAGGCTGTTTCGGCCTGTGGCCTTCATCATGATCATCCATCCATCAGGTCGTTGTCTTCATTGGTTGACTGTACATTTTAGAATTTACTTTAAAGTTTTAGTTTTTCCTTTTAGGGTCCTTGTTAGGTTTATATTGTTGATTGTCATTTATGCTTAGAAATATTTAACCATATATGCTTAGAGGTGTATAATCGATTGTGTAGTGATAGGATGTGTGATCCTTAATAGTCTGCAAAGGCTTTGTGTGCATTCCAGAGTGTTCTGGCATTCACACCCACATCCTGGGAGCATGGGAGAGGTCGTACCTTCTCTTATTGTTTTATGGTAGGATAAACGTATGTGTCAGTTTTAGTCTAAGTGCCTTTTGTTTAGATGAACTGCTGGACTTCCAGAACAGCAGGTTTAGGGAAGTCTTTATGGGGTCACACACTGACCCCCCCCCACACACACACACACACTTACACAACGCACAGGCAAGGTACTCTTTGTGTGTATGTATACATCGTATGCTAATGCACCTATGCATATTCATGTAACCTCAATAAAAGAGCAGTGTTACGGGGGAGCAGATGAGAGCAACTGGGGTCAAGCGAAGGGACGGCGTTTGTTCACTTCTCTCCCGTGCATGAGAAACATAAAGAACTTTGCCTACTCGTGTCTTGCTTTGCTGTGTAATTAAATTGTCCTTAACGTTCCAGCGAATAGGTTTATGCTACAAACCTATCAGTCCTACATGGTCAAACTCCCTCGGTATGTCTGTCACCGTGAGGAACCTCATTGAGCTTACAGGTCATCAGGTCAAAAGTCGCCGTTGGCTTCACTGTCAAAGTTGAGAAATTGTCTTTGTGCTGTAGAGACTCCACTGACTCTTTTACAAGCTTGTAATTAATTTGATGTTTTATGTTATGAATCTACTTGTGTTTTTCTTGTGTTTTTGTGAAGCACTTTGCAGTTTTTATCAGTGAAAAGTTCTGTTTAAATCAGTGTTACATACTTTAACTTATTTTCTGATTCCAGTACATGTGATGCAGAACATCAGCACTTTGTCTGGAGACAATTCAAACCTCCTCGTTCACTGTAGAGCTTCATTTCTGCACCAGCATCTCTGTGTCTACCCTGCTGCTGTTTGCAGGTATGACTCACATTACTGAGGTGTGCTGACCTCTAATGAGATTCCGCTCCAGGCATTTTTGCCCTCTGATGATGAGAGCAACAGCTGCAGGGACCAGTCTAGATTCTGGAGGACTGTATGTGCATGTTAATGTAAGAAATTAAAACTAACCCTCATAACTAAAGGTCAGACCTTGTCATTGAAACAAAAAGACTCTGACATAGTCTTAATGCAGAATTCTATGTTTATTAGAAAGATTTCCAACAGAAATCTTGTATTTTTTTGTACAGAGGAACTGCTCAAGTTTAAAAGTACAACAAAATGCAGCTGAAGCCAGAGGAGTAAAGAAAGCTTACAGGAGTGTTTTACAGCCACTCTCACAGCCAGGTTCCACCTTCAAACCATCATCCACGAGCCCATCAGTGTTTTTTTTTACCTGTGAAGTGGGGAAAGCAGCCATCTTGGATCAAAGTCAGCTGGTGGTAATATGGGACCCGAGAAAGCAGCTCAACCATACAAATACACACTCAGAATATGTGCAGCCAAAAAAGCAAACAGATCAGATACAACAAAGAGACTCTGTACATAGACATTTCTAATGTGTTAATCTATAAAATATAAATAAATATACATGTCAGTCTTTTTCTTCTAGATGATTGCAGTGCTCTTTTAAAAGGTCAAAGACCTCGAAGACAATAAAAATAAATCTGTAGCTCTATCTTCATATTTTCATTATTTACTGTTCTTTATTCAGTTATTTTCAGAAAATCTAGAGATTTTTATCATTTTCAATAAGAGCTTATTTTCCGCTCCGTTTTGATTAATAATCTATTTTTTTTAAGATTTACTTTTTTCAGCAAATAAATCCACAGTAAAGCTTTCTTGTACATGCAGTGGGATGCATCGTGCATTGTTTAACTGATGCCATTTGCACAATATGACTCATTCGCAACCTTTTAAAATTTGCATACATGTATGAGGAAGAAGCAGAGCGGGAAAAAGAAAGAGAGGAAGGTCAAATATCTGCACCAAATCTCCAGCCTCACTTCTCTGCCACTATTTTCCTCTCCTCTCATCCTGCTCCGTTTCTTCTTCGTCTCCTGGCGTTATTCTCTGCAGGGACGCCTCAGTTCCACAGTTTGAGGAAGCTGTCCCAGGATCCTGTGCAGACGCCCATACCGTCATCAGGGACGCCGGTGCAGCTCACCCTGTTGTCATGACCGGAGAGCACGCCTGGTGTTGTACAACAAGATAAAAGACATGAAAGAGTGCAGAAGGAGTGAAGGAAAAGTAAGAGGTCATGGTTGTAAGCAATGGAGATGAGTGAATAAAAGTAATTATGACAGAGAAATTAAAAGGAGAGTAAAGAAAAGGAAAAAAGATGCTCAGAAGGCACAAGATGAGTCAATGAAAAACAAAAAGAGTGGAAAGTACAAACAGAGGAGAAAGTGTGGAACAAAAATAAGACATCACAAGAACAAAGTATATGAGGAAAGCAAAGAAGAGCAAATGGCCAAAAAAATCAGGGAGGGGAAAAAATCATATGAAAGTGACGAAAGAAAAAGAAGAAATTCAAGGAGAGGACATGGAAAAGAAAAGAGTGGGAAGCAGACAAGAAAAGAGGGGAAGTAAAGGAAAAAGATGAGCGAGTGAAGCACATAAAGGAAGGAGAATTAAAGACGAGAAGAAAGAACATTGGGGAAAAAAGGGAATAACATGAAGTGACTGTAGAAAGTAGAGTGGAGTGTAAGCAAACAGCAAAATGGAACAACATGTCAGAACAACACCAAAAATAGAAAAATAGAAAAAGAATGGCAGAGAAGAAAGGGAACAAGGAGAAAGAGCAAAGGGAAAATGGTGGAAATGATTAATTAAAGGAAAGGAAAAGAAAAAAGAGGGGAAAACAGCATCGGGAAGAGAGGAAGCAAGGGAAGGAAAAAAAATGACGGCAAGGAAAGAGAGTAAATGAAAAAATTTAGGAGACGAATTGGAAACAGCAAAGGAAATAAATGTATTTTCTTTTTTAAGAAATAAAATATTCATTTTTGAAAAAAAATTAATGAACTGTTCCGTTGGAAGCAAAGAGATCATAAAAATAGTGCATCAGCACCATCTACAGGTGACATGTGGAAGAGCACCAACGTTAATGAAAACGTCACTCCCTATGCTCCCTTTTAAAAGTCTATAAATTAAGATATCCATCCATCCACAAGATATACATATTTAAATTTAAGTAATTTTGAATAAACTGTGCTCACCGACTTTCTCTCCCTTCAGTGAGTCCCAGATGTGGCAGTTGAAGTCATCGTAACCTGCAAAGATAAGGCGGCCTGAGCTGGAGAGAGCCAGAGATGTGACCCCGGCGTTCAGGCTGGCGTCCTGGTAGCTAATCACCTCCTGGTCGGCGCGCAGGTCGTACATCTTGCATTGGCAGTCATCGGAGCCTGTGATGATGGCATTACCACTTTGGAAGAACTACAAGTGGGACGAGAAGAAGCATTTGAGTTTTAAACCAAGAGGAAATAGTTTTGCTAAGGCAGCCTTCAGACCACAACTGTCCCCCTATAGACTAGAAATAGTGTGATTTGTGTGTGTGTGTCGTGAGTTTCTGGGATATCCTCACAGCAATGGCGTTAATGTCGCTGGTGTGTCCGGAGAAAGTCTGCTTGCAGGCGCCTTCCCTCAGATCCCACAGCTTGGCCAGAGAGTCACAGGCTCCAGAGATGAAGGTGTTCATGTCGGGGGAGAGAGCCAGCGACATGCAGTCCCCAATGTGGTTGGTGAAGTTGACCTTCAGCTTGCCGGTCTCCAGGTCCCACAGACAGCTGAAGATGAGAGGAAGAAGACAGAGACACAAATCAGAGGTTTTTAGACCAGACGGCGTTCTGATTAACTGTCTCAGGTCTTTTTAGCTTACCTCAAATCTAATTTCTTGATGACAGCTCTAAGTTCGTTTGTATCTTTGTTAATATGAATGAACAAATAACATTAATTTATTTGTTAATTCATATTTTCAAGCAATGATCTGAGATTAATGTTATCTCCATCTTAACTGTTTAGAGACATCTGCCTGATAAAATACACGGCATGCACACAGGTAGCTACGGTGGCCGAGCCCTGTAGGACACCGTGTGCACATGTCCATTTTTCTCTGAACCATACAACATGTTCTAGTCAATAAACACACTGCGAGAGTTTCATGGGATCATAATGAAGTGACAACTACAGTCGTTTTCTTATAGACTTTTATAAAATATGAAATTTAATTTAACTTAATTTAATTTATATAGCACCAAATCACAACAGTCACCTCGAGGTGCTTTGTAGCGTAAGGCAAAGACCCTACAATAATGCAGAGAAAGCCCCAACAATTAGACGACACCCTATGTACAAACACTTGGCAACAGTGGGAAGGAAAAACAGGACAAAACCAGGCTACGTGAGGGCCAGCAATTTGCAGCGACTGGCTCCGCCCCCCACTGGTCATTAGAAAGAGTGCAGGTTTAAGGCACTTCCCCTTTACATTTTAGAAATATTGCCTATAGTATGTGGTAATATGAAGACACCATAGAGCACATGATTGGTGAACAAGTGTCATGGTTTTTTTTAATACCTTCAGGCTAATGGGAGAATGCACAGCCTTGATACTGATTTAAAAGCTGCTCTTTTTCCCTTGTTCACTACTTTAGGTGGGTTGATAGAAATGACTGACATCAAACACTAAGAAACACAAACTTTAAACTCACCAGGTGGTGTCACCGGAGGCTGTCAAGATCTCACTATCGCTAAGGAAACGGCAGCAAGACAGGTAACCTGGGCGAGAGAGAGTTTTGCGAGCGTCTCAGGTTGGCTGTGCATGCATTCATTGGTTTTGATGCTGTGAAGTAAGTTGAAGGCATTTAAAGGAAGCTCCCTCCTCACCTGTGTGTGCGTCCAGCTCTCTGAGGGTTTTGGGGCTGGCCGCCTTGATGTTGTAAACTGTGCAGATGTTGTCCAGACCACCGCTGGCCACCAGGTTACCAGAAGGGGCGAAGGCGACACTCATCACCCAAGCAGACTTCAGTGGAACAGCAACCAACTGGGAAGAGGGAATTCAGTTTAAACAAGCAGGAGGTTGCAGCTCTGCGGTTTAACAAGCATGGACAGCGTTTGAAGGCTGGGGAGACGATGTTCCTGTTGGCTGTCTGTGCTTCCACTCAGGTCTAAAGGCCTGCAGGAACCACTGCAACAGCAACAACAAGCTTATCGTGACACTATTAATCTTTGTTTACTGCTTTAGAAATAGGTTCACTGAGTCACCGCAGGAAAGCAGATGAACAGTCAAAGTAGAGTCAAAACACACAAAATGCTAAATGTAAATGAAGAGATTTTCACAAATGTTTGTGAAGATTCATCACAACAGACCAGTTGTTTCTGGACTCCTGTAAAGCACTGACCCTCAAACAGGGGTGCTTTGAAGGGTGCTCAGAAATGAATTTAAACTGTGAAGCTTGCTCATCCATTGGCTAATTAGCTCACTGCTGAAATCTGCTCACTGGGTAATCTAATTATGTTGGGATGTACTAAATAAATACTGAGCTCCAAGCTCAGATTGAACATTTTCTCCTTGTTCTTCTCTTCTTTTGTTTTTAACACTTGTTCTCAGTTTCTGTTATTATCCATTTGTGTTAGTCATTGTTGATATATCTAAAAGAACATGAACTAAAAAGTACTAACTTACTAAATGAAATTAGCAGTTGATGACTGATTGTTTCATTGAGTAAATATGCAGTTTTTGTCTTATTTTGCAGGTTGTGTGTGGTTCGTTTTACTTGGTCTATTATATATTGCACTCCACAAATAACATGCCTGCACATTCAGATTAATTATGACATATCCCATGCAGTCCTACCTTGTTCCCTGTGAAACAGTCCCAGATGAGCAGCTTTCCATCCTGTGATGCACTGACCATCTGCCTGTGAGAGAAAGGAAGTGTCACTGTGTTTGAAGAGCACTTCAATCTTCATTAAATTAAAGATTTAAAAAACATCTCAGTGAGATAATGTCTCACTAATGATGAATATTTCTGTGGCTGTTAGAAAAGAGATGTCGTGTAGCAGTAACTATTGTGCCTTTTAAATTCACATGGATTGACTGTATGCTGGAGTTTATCTCGTTTCTGCATCTAAAGTTTGTTCACATGCGAAATAGTTTGGCTGTTATCACAACTAATGTTTGCATCCTGCAAATTCTGATGTCAAAGTCACAAACATATTAAAAACACACACACATTAATATGGATAAAAATCAGCAGTTTATAATCTTCAAGACACACATTCATTTTCATTACAGCACATACAAATAAATCAGGTAATTTCAGTATTTCTTTAATATTACAAGTGTTTTCTTCAAACTGTCAAACAGGCGATGTTATATTTACATATTACGTTTTTTAAGCATTAAATAGAGGTTTTTAAAAAGTAAAGGGATGAAACGAGTATTCATATACAACCTATTGTTGAATTTGATTACAGAGCTGCTCTTTTCTTACACAAACGTGCCACCCTTTCATCCTCACCTGGAGTCAGCTGACCAGTGCATGGCATAGATTTTAGCCAGGTGACCCTTGAGTGTCTTCCTGAGCTTCAGCTGGACCCGACCCACTGAGTCCACCCCTGATGCTGCTGCAGACATGCTGCCGTCATTCACAGCTTTGCGGGCCGCCTATTGGTCACACAGAGAATTACAGGTTTGGAAAAAGAAAAACTGTGTAGTCGGTGTTTTTCCTCACTCCTTTCCTCTGTGATGGCATCACAGCAATTCTAGCATTAGGAAAAAGGAAGGAGGTCCACTAAGTCCTCCACTAAGGCGAATTAACCTCCACAAATTATAAAGGAAAAACTAAGAGTAAGTAAGATCTGCAATCAAAAGAAACCTCTTCACAAGGGTAATATAAGCACCATGGGTCCATCCTCTATAATTATTAGTTTTTACCTGTCTAGTGAAACATGTTTAAATAAATATGATTATTAAGGCCATCCTGAACATTTTCCTGTTGTTTTGAACTTACAGTGACTCAGACAGACAGATAAGTATGTATATACACATGTGTCTATGTGTTAACAGACCTCTCTGCATTGAATCATATCTGTTATTAACCTCTGTCTCTCTTCCACAGCATGTCTTTATCCTGTCTTCCTTCTCTCATCCCAATCAGTCGTAGCAGATGGCCCCGCCCCTCCCTGAGCTGAGTTTCTTCCTGTTAAAAGGAAGTTTTTCCTTCCCACTGTTGCCAAAGTGCTGCTCATAGGGGGTCAAATGGTTGTTGGGTTTTTCTCTGTATCTACTGTACAATATAAAGCGCCTCGAGGCGACTGCTGTTGTGATTTGGCGCTATATAAATAAAACTGAATTGAATTGAATATCAAAAGACCTCCAATGGACCTCCAATGGAGCTCTAACACCTCTGCGGTCTTAAAGAAGGCCCAACAGCGTCTCCACTTTCTGAGAATCCTCAGAAAAATGGACCTGAAGAAGGAGCTGCTGACCGTCTTCTACCGCTGCTCCATTGAAAGTGTGCTGACATATTGCATCGGTGTGTGGTTCTCCAGCTGCACCACAGCACACAGAAAGGCACTCCAGAGGGTCATCAACATGGCCCAAAAAATCATTGGACATCCTCTTCCCTCCCTGAAGGACCTGTACAGCACTCGCTGTCTCAAGAGGGCACGCAGCATCCTACGGGACTGCACACACCCAGGACACCGGGTGTTTAAGCTGCTGCCGTCTGGCAGGAGGTTCAGGCTGCTGAGGTCCCGAACAAATAGACTCAAGGACAGCTTTTACAACAGGGCAATAGCCCTGATCAATGTAAATAGCTGACCTGACTGGATACCTCCCTGGACTTTTTAGGGGGAGTTTACAATGTTTAAAACGATAACAATAATATTTATATTTATAACAAGGTGCAATAATAATTAATGTGCAATAATAACAGTGTGCAATACACATACACTTATTCTTCTTTTTTATACTAAGTTAATATACTGTGTTGTGTTGTTTGTTACGTTGTGATGTGTCATATCGTGTCGTGTTGTGTTATATGTAGTGCCGACGTAGGACAGTTTTTCCAATTTCATTGTACTACTGTACTATGTATGACTGTGCAATGACAATAAAGAGTTATCTTATCTTATCTTATCTTATCTTAAAAGATTACATGCATATCTGTCACGTGACGGATGGAGAAAGACTGATTACTTGAGGTTAGTGTTAAATAAATACAATAACATTAATATACACGCTAGATAATATGAAAAATATGGTGTCACGGGGGTGAAATCAGGATTGTTTTTATGGTGTTGAAGATAAAAACACCTGGAACTTCCTCCCACAAGAAACGCTCACCTCAATCTGTGCACGGAGGCCATCACACTCCTTTTTCAGTGCATCCATTTCAGCCTTCTCAGCTGCCATGGCGAGAGTTGTTTGTTGATGTTACTGATGAAAAACCAAGCGACACTGAGAGGAATAGGAAATGGGGAAAAACACAAAAAAAATATAATTATTTACTTGGAAAATATTCTGAAGTCCACGTGTGGACTAGACATATTTGCACAGACAGCAATGTTTGGATGTTTGTTGCAGCTCATTGTGAAAGATGTTAATGCTGTTAGTGGAATGACTCCCAGCCAAACGTATCCTCACGTTTGACCCTGCTGTGAAATAAAGTAGGTACCACTCAGTGACCCTGATTCCTGAACTGGAACGCTTCGATTCTTGTTGCACCACCAAGTCTACAGAAACAATTAGACACTCAGGTGTCAGCTGTCCCTGAACAAAGAGAGGAAGGGAACCGTTTAGAAGTATTAAAGAAGACGGCACAGAATCAACAATGGGTAAAAGAGGACAAGAGGAATGAAGGATAGATGTGTAGGACTTAGGAAAGAAGGAAGCAATTACATTACTCTAAAGGTCTAAAGGGCACTTAGTACATTTATTTTTGCGTGATTTAGAGGATAAAATACACGTCTTTAGTTTTTACTGACTCCTTTTATTCTTTATGGTTTTAAAGAGTTGGATCAGTGTTGAATCTTCCTTGTAAGGAATTTATGGTTGCCTTAACTTCAGTGTCCATTTTGACCTCACCAACACCCTTCCAGTGTAAAACTTTAAACCCTCAGGTTACATCATGTTACATCACCAACATCAAGGTCAAACAGCTAAAAGTTAACGGTCAGAAGCTGAAAAAACAAACAACAATAAAAGAAAAGCTGTTATTTCCAATCAGTGTCATCGTTTTTCTTGGTTTGTTCTTTTACTTTGAAACTTAGTGTTTACAATAAGTGTTCGGCTAATACTCTGTAACAGGATGCTGATGACTGACTAACTGAACACCGATTAACTGTGTGCACGTTTCTGCACATCATCAAACTATCGAGCTAAAAGCCTGAACCCCCATGAGTGAGGTAAAAATGACTGCTAATGCAAAACACAGAGATTCCAGTGAGGAATATTAAAACTTCCAGAGTTGTGCTACAGTTTTAACCTTGCCTGACTTGTTAGTCACAAACCATAAGTAGAGCTTGCACAGTAGTCACACAGGAACATGCAGGAGCTTTTACAGAAGACGGAGACATGATTAAGAATAAACGTCAACTGATTAGTACAAGTGATCGGTTGCATCAGTCTATGTGCAGGTAGCAGCTGCACATAGACTATGGAAGGTCGAGGATATGGTGGGGGCAGAGGTGAGGGGAGTTTGGGATGGGTTTCTACAGGACTTTAAATCCCTGCAGGAGAGCTTAAGAGAAGCTTTAGCGGTCAAATCTCCTGTCATCTGATTGCTGACTGCTCTTTACCCTGAGATCAGAGTGAGAGGGAGGGACTGCGGCGTGGACAATAGAAGAAATGGAGCTTCTGTTAGAGTCAAGACCAAAAACTGCTCCTCCTCTACTGTCCTGTTTATTCATTTGAGGTGCACTTATTGTTCAACATGTGAATGAAACACATGCGGCCATTTTCCAGAGCTTAAAGCCAGTGAAAATCTGAAACCTTATTACACCACTCTCCACCACTATAAGGACAACTTAACACCACAACCTCCTGTCAGTGTGTTATTCTTGCACGCACACTTTAATGTGCAGACTGGAGGAGTCATGAGTTGACTCATTACACTCATGGACTGAGCCATCTGATTAGCAGACCACCTGCTACCACCAAAGATTTCCACAAACAAAGTGAGCTGGATGAGGTTTAGCTCTTTGTGACCGACCAGGCTGCAGCTTACTGCTGCTCCACCTCAAGCTCCAATCCTCTTTGGCAGAGTTGCTACAATCCAAAGATCACCTTCAGAGGGTTTAAGGATGCAGTGACAAGTTATTCTGTTGTTTGAAAGAAATTGATGACTTAACTCAAGTTGCATTGGTCAAATATCCTGAATTTGATCAAATCATGTGTCAGAAAATACAGAAATTCCCCAAAGTTGCTGATCACTTTTTGCTTTGGTAGCACAGCACTGCAAAAGTTCACTTCCTGTTCTTCCAAATAATAAAAAGCAGAACTCCACTTTTCTTCTTCAAACGGTGACAAAGAAAGATGATGAGTCCCCACAGCTGACTCAAAGCAGCTCCAACTGTTCCCCAGCAGCATTCCTTAACTTTAAACTGTCACAAAGAAGCACCAGAAATGCTGAAACTCACCTTTTCTCTTTTTCTGCACCTGTGCAGATCCCGATCGCAGACACCTGTGTTCCCCCTTTGAGCCGTTTCAGCTTCCACAGCTCTACAGGGTGCACAACCTGCTCGCTGGCTCCTCTGATGCTCTCCCACCGGCTGACTGCTAGTGGCTGTACTAGTGAAAAAGTCTGAGCCTTCCTCCACGGTGACGAACAGATGAGGATTGGAGGGGATGAAGGAGATAAGTGATGAAGGGATAAGGCTCAATGATGGAAATAGGGAAGGAGAGAGAGAGGAAAAAGGAAAGGGAGCGTGGCGAGAGGAGGTAGGTAAAGCAATTGAAGGGAGAAAATCAGGTTATGAGGTCAAAAGATGAGAAGAGGTGAAGAAATCCAAGAACAAGACAAGAAGAGGAAGGGAACAGATGTCATAGCACAAGAGTAAACTAAAGGAAAGAAAGACAAACACAGAGATTTGTCTAAAGCAGGAAGATGGGAACTCTTCAGAGCACAAAGTTGGTTCCACGAACAGAGCAGTGGTTTCTTCTTGTGTTTAATTTATCCTATTAAAGGTTCAACAAAATATAAGGCAACGCCAGTTAAAAATGTTCATTTTAATTTCCACAGCTGTTTGTTCTTTTTTAACCCATCCACAAAGTAGTTTTATTCATTGGTGCATTGGTACGTATGCTTTGAATGCCCTGTGGTTGCAGAGAGGTGACATTGGTGCCTTGATTCCTGACATTGCACTGCATGTTTTTGGATGCGGGCGCAGGAATGGAGAGATGGACTGAGGCGGAGGTTTACAGGAGGGGTGAATTGGTTTGTCGGAGCTAATGAGCTGAGCCCAGTTAATCAGGGTCTAATAGGATATCCGGGGACGGGCAATCTCATTAGGGAATTAGAGCAGGTCAGGCTGAACGCGCGTCACACCTGACACACAGCAAAGGCACGGACGGAAAGTGGATCAAGAGTCAAAGGTTTTGTCTCAAAATTTAAAACTTTGATGCTGCATTTTTATTTCAAGACTGGAAGAGATTCAAGTTCCTTATAAAGATTCAATTCTTCAAATCAAGCAGTCTTTCTCCTTTACTATATGGGAAAAAATAAAATAAAATCAGCAGTAGACAGACGTGCAGGAGAGCAGGACATTAGATCTGTTTGGATGCAGACACTGAGAGAGAACATGGGAGAGGTTTTGGGTCGTGTCCTGCAGAGCAGGTACTCGTCTTCCACGTGAGCTGATCTTGGCTCCGCCCTCTTAGCATCTTTTAATTAGACTTGCAGCTTCAGGGCAAAGTTCCATGATTTTTATCCAAGAAAACTGGGGATAGAAAACTTCCTTTAGATCAGTCCCCTCATTCAATCCAGAAGAAGGTCAGAGGTCAGAGTGAGCACACGGGCTGTGCCCACGTTGGGATGCTAACATAGTCAACTAGTGCATCACCTGTAAACTGTATGAATGCAGTGCACAGATGCAGACAGCTGTGACACTGACACATGCAAATATAAAACAAGAACTAATCTCTTACTTCTTGTCCAGTTACAGCACAACGAGCAACATTATTTGTCAGATAATTAAAAACCCTCCAACAGCACTGATGCCACAAATGAGTGATTTGCTCTGCAAACAGCCAGGGTTAAAACTATCCTCAACAATTAAAATGTATAACTTTGTCTACAGACACCAAAACGTTTTGTTTATTTCTGCTACGGGGAGGCGTTGTATTCTGTAGTTTGTTTTTATGGTTTGTCTTGACTTGAAATAAGCCACTAAACTACTTATTTACCACATATGTTTTATTATCACGGGGCTTGATGTTCTGCAAATGAGTACTTCAATTATTCACTTTCCAAACTGACTTTTCCCTTGAAGTGATTTCATGTGAAATATTTTAAGCTTACGCCTGTTTTTATAAAACATTTAACAAGCATGTGTGTTGACAGACGGTCATTTGCACAGCAAACAGTGACTGAAGTTTGATCCTGTCATGACACTTTTAAGCTCAGCTGTTTCTTACTGACAGCGTTCCAGTGTCTGCTGAACATGTTTAAACACTTGGAAACTGTTTACAACTCTGCTCTGCAAATGTAGTCCAGTCACTTCACTCCAAGTTGCAACTCACATCCTATTGGTTAAATATCCAGGAATTCCATCCTCTATGGTCATAGGTGCGTGCTGAAATCAACAATGACGTTCGACGGCCTCCTCTAATGAGGACTTCTAGCTTAAGCTTCACCTCGGGCGGTGTCCTGTTTTAAGCAGTTGATGCAACAGGTTTAGGATCTGGTCTGATGATGTCACACAGCAACATCAGTGTTATGCAGCAGTGCTTGTTTTTTCTTAACAAGTCAAACAAAGTTTTAATGGCCTTTGTGAACCAACTATCAACACTAGGTGTCCTTAAGAAAGACAGGAAAGCCTTTCAGGAACAATATAATCAAGTATATTATATGCAATATGAAGAATACACTCGGCACTTAAGAAAATGTTTTTGTAAACTTTTTCAGATCTCTTTTAAATCCATTTAGACGTGACGCCTGAGACAAATCTACAGGGATGTGCTCACAGCTGGAGGTGAATTTGTAAATTGATTTGTAAATCTCCTTTTGTTCTTTCTCTGCCTGTGTAGAAAATAAAGTGTCAGTGTCTGATTTTTAATTCTCAGTTCTGAAGCCTGAATGTCATCACACTGACCATCTTATTTTGAGTCAAAACTACAAAATAATGCAGGGCTCAGTTATCAGATGACATCAACATAGACGGTGCAGGTGCATTGCACAGAAACCTGCTAATTAGTGCAACATAACATAAAAATAACATTAAAATGAAATCTACAAATACAATAATCCATAAAAAATCCATAATATCTGTGAGCTCCTGAAGGCGCCAACACCAGGGGTCCAGTCTAGTGAGTGGAAATAGGCCACACCCCCTAATAATGCAAACTTCCACACTCAATGAGTGAGTTATTAAAGAGGTAAATATAAAAAGTACAGTTGTTATGAATGGTGTGAGTAGTCATAGAGATGAAACAGACTGTAAATATGTTGATTCGTGCCGCTGAGTGTCGTGCAGTGAACTTGTGCTGAAAATATGTGTGGTGTTTGAAATTATACAACTTGTATATTTTTTTATATTAAATATTATCTAACTGAAATCTGTTCCCTTCATTATAAAGCAAACCACGAGCTAGAATAAAACCCCACCAAAAACACCTCTTGTTAATCTGTCATGTGATCTGTTTATGCTCCAACATACTCGCCACATTGTGACCTCAAAACGAGCTCTCAGCTGTAAAGTGGACGACAGCCATGACGCACCGTTACCTACTCATATAACCTTACTTCCTGAAAAATAAAAAATCTGACTTATACTAACTTATACTAATACGTTCATAAACAGAAAAATTATGACTGTCATAGTGTTCAGTTTGGATGACTGTAGATGCTATTTGAGCTCTTTGTATAATAATTTTCATCAGTGATCTCTTGAAATCTTCCTGGTGTGATTTGCTGGTTGAACATTATTATAACAGTGTCAGTAAGGAGTCAGCGTGTTCCTCCAACCCAAGCTAATGAACCATGACAGAAAAGGGCTAATTGACTTCCTGAAAACTCCATGTGGTAACAAGCTCAGGAGCTGGAGTACAAGCGCAGGGCTCAGCAAACACTCTTCATTCAGGGCCACTTTAACAGGAAGCAGACGAGATGAGGGAATGTGGGTCTTTCAGCTCGGCAAGGATGGAATGAGGCATTTGAGGCTTGTTTTTTGTACATGTAAATAATAATGATAATAATAATAATAATAATAAAAGAGCTGATATAGTGAAGAAGAAGTGAAATAAAAATGAATTAGAATAGATAACTAGATTTCTTTTTCATCATGATCTTATATATCTAAATTATATTTATACTCATTTTGTTGACCAGATAGAAAATCATAAATCACAATGAATTACTTTTCCCTCAGGGAACGACTCTAAAACTGATTTAATCTAAAAACACAATTTAAAACATTCAAACTGTTTTTAATTTCAGCAACTTTACAGGAAATTATTTCCTAGCAGGAAGAAATTACACACATAAGTTATTTTAAGTGACTTATTTTAATTTATTGTAATTTTAGTCCACAGACCCTTCTGTTGTTAACATCTTGACAGGCTGATTGTGGTAGCAGCGCCACCTGCAGGGCAACAACAGCAGTGCAGGGAGGAGACGTTACAAACAAGCCATCATGTTTCATGAAGAGAACAGATAGATTCATCGTTAACAGACTGCTCATGTCTGCTGCTGGATAGGTGCACGTTTTGTATTCACATGGCAGATATGAGTGACAGCAACAGCTTACACCCATGGAGAAAATACAGTCGTTATTTACGCCACGGGACAACAAACATTTTTACTTCTCAAAGCACATCTTCAAAGAGGGGAATGTTACACATGTGGCTACATCACGTATAGATCAAACATGACGTGTATTTTATGTACAGTATATACACACAGACATCTGACACATAACATATCTGATTCCAAATATAAAACAGACATTTAAAAGCATTTATCTTGATTCAACTTGAATCCCTGATTTAAGTCTGAAAGTGAATCATATAAAAATATATAAAAATATTTCTGCAGTTTAAGGCACAGAAACACTGAATAGAAGCCAGCGACAGGTCCAGAGGAGGGCGGCTGTTATTCCTGTTAATGCCACTGAGCACAGAGAGCCCAGTGTACGCTACTCCACTATGCTTTGAATAAAACACATTTTTTTAACTTCATACAGTTTCTTTAGTTTTTGTTATTATTTACTGCAGATGTTAAAATAAAAGTCCAGGGATTTTTAATGCTGTGATGTTATAAAGCTTACATTTAGAGTGAGATACATGCAACTAATCAATAATCAGCAATTTTTTTATGTATATAGTTCTACATAATGATTGTTTTAATTTAAGTATAAATGAATGCTGAAGGTTTTGTATTATTACCAAAGTAGAGTTATAATGTTTTAGTTTCTCGCACCACTTTTCAAAACCTAAACCAAAACCAAAACTATTTCATACATGATTAAGCTTTTGCAGAGACCCAGTTTCCTTGTGTTACCGTCTGTATGAGGGCACAGAGATACGCACGAGTCTGAAAGATCAGGGCCTCATCTGGACATGAACCTGGTTGTCAGTCCCTACTGCAGTCCTGACTGCTACACGGTACTTCAGGGACTTGACAGCACTGTAAATGTATTTTGACACTCCATCTCTGTTGCGTTCATGCTTGTGGACAGAGCAAACTATCCACACACACGTCACAAATAATGAGCAGTGAGCACAAATGGCACATGTTAATTAAATGCAAAAAGGTAAATAAGTGTTGATGACCTGACTACACTGTGACAGATAACCCAAGCAGCCAGTACAAAATACTAACTGGTTTTCTTAGTGTGGTATGGCAGTACTCGCGCCGGGGCCCATCTCTTTCTCACAGATGAAGGGTAAGTACATGCTGCAGGGGGCGTCGTACCAGCTCCGGATCGCCACGCGCTCCATCACACGTGTTTTCACGATGTAGCCGCAGTCTTCATCGATGTGGTTGTTGGGCTCACCCTCCTCCCAGAAACTACAGTACGGAGAGAGAAAGGGAGCGAAACACATCGACATGTATAAAAACCTTTAACATACATTCATGTTCACCCTGGATCTGATGGTTCACGTTAAACATGTCAAGAAGAAGAGCTAGGGCAGTTTTATTCCTATAGTGCAGTGTACTTTACAAAACCACCACTTCTAACTATAATCCTAAGATTATTTTTCAAACTGGACAGTTTGCTTTCAGCATCCACTGACAGCTTCTGCTCATCTCTTAGATTTGAGCAACTTTGGTCTAAATTCATGTTTAGTCTATTTTTATGGCTGGTTACATTTTCCTCCCTCCTATTTTTGTTTCCCTGAACATGATCATCACACACGTGGAATTAAAATGCCACATTTTGAAGCTGGAGGTATCATCGTGCTGCTTACCCCAGAGATTATAGTTTGAGTCCTTCAGGAAACTTTTTTTTCTTCATGGGCTCATAATTGTAATATTGTTAATTAAAAAGAAAGAAAGACTTGTTGGACCCTTTGTCCTGGTGTAGCAGAGCAGCTGTGTTGAATCAAGGACACATCTAAGACCTGCAGGACACCGGCCCCTGAGACCTGGAGTTGGACACCTCTGCTTTAGACAATTTTAAGTATAATGGTTGAATCTAACAATTGTTACTTCATCAGCTTAAATGCCTCCATCTAGATGAAATTCCACAGACACAGCAAACATATTTAAACATATCTAAGCTCTTATAGTTTTTTAACTAAAATTAACTTTCATTTTCAAGGTCAGCGGCAAATAAAAGTCTATGTACAAAATATCCTGTCAAATCGAATGAAAACCACCTACAAGTTTGCTTTGCACTCAAATAGACTGGAAGTTATATTTCTAGCAGTGGCTTCCTCTTATGATGTCTCTGGTGGTACCCAAGGGTATAACAGTGTGCAACATAGTTTATCGCTAGAATTGAACCACAATACTGCAGACTACACAGTTTAAGTTGCAACATTTATCGAAATAATGTATTTTATATTTTTGTCCATCTCAGAGAGTGATGTCATGATACTGAATGATGATATATCATTTATCATGAGCTGTTAGAATTTTAAACTCCCTGCTGCTCATGTTATGCTCACTCAGCATAATCTGAGCTAGATGTCGAAATACCACAAAGAAAACTTTGATGACATCGTAACCATGAACGGATGAAACTGACAAAAGGATACGTGCAAGCAGGAATCGTGTGGTGACTTAAACGTGGCATCAGCTAAAAGGACCACCAAACCGCAGCACATGAAAATTGACTGCATTCTACATTAAACTGGCTATTAGGTTTAATTAATCCTCAACTGAAGATGCTGAAAGACTGTTCCAGATCTTTACTGTTCACATTAATCACTGGGTTTAGTAAAAACAATTAAAGATCACGTCCGTATGCAAACATAACTGCTTCTGCTTTTTTATAACCCTGTTTTCTTGGGTGCAAAGAATGCGAGTACCTGCTGAAGATAGTTACGCTTCAAAGTTGTGCTTCCTGTAACTACATTTAGCGCTATCTCTAGCAATTAAAAGGCGTGCTCTTTTGAGATCAGCTGACTGACTTGGCCATTGTAGAACGTCCCATTTCTTAGCCTCGAGAAGCTCTTGGGTCACTTTTGGCACATGCTTTGGGTCCTTTGTCTGAACCTGAGCAGAGACTGCAGCCCTGTACACTTTCATCCTACTATCAGCAGTCACGCCTCAATAATTACTAGAATTTGGTTCCAGTGGCAGCCATCTGTGGTCATGCAATAATGCTGCTTCCACCATGTTTGACAGATGATGTGACATCATGAGTCGTTTCTCTTCTTATCCATACTTTTGTCCTTAAATCTTTCTGGTGCAAGCTCATCTTGGTTTCATCTGTCCAAAGATGTTTGTCCTTCTTCGCCTGCATGTCTGCACTTTAATTTAATTCAAAAAAAATTTATTCATACACCACCAAATCTCAATAACAGTTGTCTCGATGTGCTAATTGTTCAATCAATTGTTTTATTTTTAAACACTGTGGTAGTGTATAGTCATACTATACTACTAAAAGTGTGTCTTTGTGCAACAGAGTGTGGACCTAACTGCAGATTATTTTTCTTTGCATCTGTACTGAAATACAGTCTGGACAGTTTAAGGCAGAAACAATAAAACAAAACGTCAAATTATACAAAAATATCTTACATGAGTCAAAACGTCTACAGAAATAAAACCTAAAAAAATTTACCCTAAAGAGGAAGAAAAGGACAAAACAGGAATGTCAACAGGTTTGTCATCTACAAATAGAGGAAGAGAAATCAGGTGGCTCTTAGAAAATCTGTTGAGTTTGCACAAGTTGGGAAAATTTTACAGTGAGTCTGTGATGTGAAGCAGAAGTAACATCCAGAGCAAATGAAGCAACTCAGAGATATAATGCAACATTTTGCAATAACCAGGAGATGAAGAAAACCACACTTTGCATTTTCATGAAAAACAACCTTTGCTGCAAATCGGGCAGCCCTGACCTGCTCTCCCTCCAGCTGTTATCTGACATGTGGCGCTGCAGCACAACATTTAACTCTTTAGTGAGTCTGTCGCGCTTTTTGTTTCTCTATTGAACATCTTTACTTTCAATAAGCCAAAGGAACTCAGTCTAGAAAAGGGTCATGTCTAGTGACTTTGAGCACGAAGGCAAGACGAGGACAGCAGCAGTGCGTCACAGTGTGTCCAGTGTTCAGTGCATGCAGCGTTAGACTTGACCACTGGGATGTTGCTGGTCAGACTGGTAACCTCTGTCATATCAATGATAGAAATGATTCTGTCATTGTGCCCTTTAGTTTTCTTCTGTGGTCTTTCTGTGTTGCTGAGCCGACCACTACATTCATTCTTTTTAAGAATGTACCAGATTGTTGATTTGGCCACTCAGTCGTCAAATTAATCTTCAGTCTCTGAAATGTTAATGCTTTCGTTAAACCCTTAAAACTGAAACTGAAAGGCTGCATTTCCTGAAGTGTGATAAAACGAATCAAGTGAATATAAATTTGGTAAAAAAGCAAAACATGAAAAATCAAAGACAGAAAAGTTCTTAAGATTCCACCTGAATAGGGCCAAATTTTCACACTGATTCATGCAATAGTTTAGGGTTCATAAGACCACAAATTGCTAACTCTGAATATCATTTTGTCCATGTCCCTGTTTTTAATCTGCTGCCTGCACCAAATTTCTTCATTTGTCTTTTAGTTTAAATAAGCTTGGGAGCCACCACTGTGCAGAGTAAAAATCATGCGTGTGTTAAAGGTCAGTGTTCAGCTGCATGTTTGTTTTTTAAGTACACACTGTCTATTTACTCTACAAGATAATCAGTCACTCTTTACAAACAAAGAGCTCCAGGTTTTTCTCCTATTGAAGTCGACATACAGAAAACTAGACGCATATTTCAGAGCATCAGTGTCAAATAAATCTGTTGGCCTTGAATGATTGAATACCAGTTGTTCTTAGACTGCGGGGGCAGAGACAATAATAATAATAACAATAATAATAATAATAATAATAATAATAATAATAATAATAATATATGTAAGTATAACCTTTTGTTAATGATTAATTAGTCACTAATTAATCATAAATCAGCATTCAAAATCAATCAATCACAAGTGAGGTTACAGGTAAAATCATATAATATATTTAACCTATAATGTGATATTTAGACTCCCCACATCCTAAATGGTGCCAATACAAACAAAGACCGTGAGTTTTAAAGATAAAAGATATAAAAGTTTTATCTGAAGATGAGTTCAGAAGTCCTGATATAAGTAGCCTGATATTCAGAAGCCTTATACGGTGTATCATTGCCTTTAGGAGGTCAGAGGTGTGGCATGATATTTTAAATCTTTATATGGGATTGTGCGTATGTTGGCAATACACACGGCACTTGTAAGAATTATAGTTTCTAAATTAGAAGACTTCTTTTTAATTTTTGACCGATGGATCATTGAGTTAACCTCTTGAAGACACGCCTGCAAAGTTTTATCAGAATGCATTCAAAACTTTTACACACTATTGTGTTTATTGTCGCTATAGTTGTGTTATTGTCCAAAGCAGGACCAAAAAAAGAAACTGAACCAAAGGAAAAATGAATCTGCTGAACTGCTTTGCAATATTGCCCAATAAGTGAAGCAACTCATTTGGCACCAAACTTGTTTTGCATTCACTGTTCTGTTAGCACATTGCATCGTGTTGTAAGGCAATGCTAACATGACCACGTGTTAAGTTTTAGTCCTGAACAGGTTGGGAAGAAGGTAAGCAGAGAAACAAACGACCTACCCTCCGATCAGCGGAGTGCCGTCGACCCATTTCCACTCATCTTCTGTTTTTTCATCAGTTATTCCAAACCAGTAGGAGTTCCAGTGTCCTCTGGGAAGAAGATTCCAAAGAAATGTCTGAAAGGAAACATACAGAGGAAGCATTCACATTCAAGAAAGCATTAATCAGTAATGACTTTATACAGTAAAGGGCGTTTATAGAGTCAGCTCTTTCCTTGCTCGGTTTACAGGAAGTTTACACAAGAAAATTCCACAAAAGCCCAAATGAAGCAGAAGTAATGTTTTCTTGTTGTCAAAGAAAAAAAGACAGAAATCAGTGTATCCCTCCTTGGCCCTGAGCACCACATGCATACAGCATGACTGCATCTTTAGTGGAAAACACAATGAAATTTATCAAACTGTACCTGCTCCTCAGGTGTGTGGATGATGGCCAGGTGAGCGCCTTTGCTCTCACAGAAAGACTTGCTCTCTGGCCAATCCCGTGAGTTCCTGGAGATCAAGTAACAGCTGTTGTTAAAGAGGTGCCAGTCGTTGGGGCAGACGATAGGAGCCGACGTCACCACAGCAGGAGCTGATGAGACAAGAAAGAAGGAAATTGGTGCAACCAAAGATATTTACTTAACGGCTGGTAAATAGCTGATTCACTATGCTTGTTAGATGGGTTACAAAAAATGTAATCTTAAATTAAATCAGACTAAAGTCTTATTGATAGGATCCAGGCTGTATTTGACAGCTCATAGAGGAGACGATTCATTCTTGTGGCTTCACAAAGATGCATGAACGAAAACGATAAAGAAAAATGAGGAGTCTACCTTTAGTAGCCATCTTTGCAGCGAGCTTGGCCTGCAGCTCGTCCTTCTCTTTCTGCAGCTGTTGTTTCTCCTGCTGCAGCTTGGCGATGGACGCTGTCAGAGCTGACACATTTGCCTCCTGCGTCTGCTTCCCTAAGGATGCCTCACCACCACCCTGAGGTTTGTTTTTATCTGTTAGCAGTATGAAAGTAAGTTACATACAGTACTGTATGCTGAAGGATTACAATATACTGCCAAAAGTATTTGCTCATCTTCCTTTACACATGTATGAACTTGAGTGACATACCATTCTTAATCCATAGAGTTTAATATAACATGGGCCCAGAAAGCTTTCCACAAGGTTTAGGAGTGTTTATGGGAATTTTTGACCATTTTTCCAGAAGCAAGTTTGTGAACTGAAGTTGGAGGCTTGGCTCCAGTGTCAGTGACTGACCATCCGTAAATGAATTAGAGACCCCGCTCTTACTCGTTGCAAAGTGTTCTATCGTGTTGAGGTCAAGACTCTCTGCAGGCCATTCATGTCTCATTCATGACTTTGTGGACCTTGTTTTGTGTTTAGTGTGCAGTGATGTTGGAACAGGAAGGAGCCATGGCCAAGCTGCTCCCCCAAAGTTGGGAGCATGTAATTGTCCTTAATGTTTTGGTATGCTGAAACATTAAGAGTTCACTTCACTGGAACTAAGGGGCCCGGCCAAATTCCTGAGAAACAACCCCACACCATAATCCCCACTGCTCTCAAATCCCAAACCCGAAATCTGTAGCTGACTCTGCACCTCAGCATCCACTGATCGTGGCTGTAATCCACAATCACGTTCACTTTGTTGTAATAACACTAACAGCTGACTGTGAAATATTTAGTAGTGAATAAATTTCACAGCTGGACTTGTTGGTTCGGATCTGATCACAGTTTTAAGTCAGATTAATTTTCAGATCAGCAAAAAAAGAAAAGAAGACAAGAAAAATGTAACTCGTCATTTATTTATCTATGTATTTTTTTGGCCATTAAAAAACATTCAACTCAAGACTCATAAAAAACAAATTAAGGTGCAATACTTTGGCAGTACAGGGCTTTGTATCTACCACTCCGCTGTGATATAATCAGCAGTAATTGTCACATAGCTTTATGTTGCCCTGCAGGTCCACCCATCTGTAGTTGGGCAACAGAAGATGCCTGGGACAGTTCAGCCATAACTTTGGACTTTTCCTACTCATACATGCTTGGAACAATGTTGTCACTGAAGTGGACACGCGACGGGATTATGATAGCGTGGCTAAGCATGTTCATCATATGTTTAAACCCCTTGTTTTGCACAACGGAATACGGCCTTATGTCTGTAGCTAAACACCCCAAAAGCTTTTCTAACAGCTTTCACGGATCAACAGTGAGTCATTGCACCACTAATGCATCCTATGGTACGATGGTGGAGCTCCTGAGAGCGACCCATTCTTTCACAAATGTTGGCCAAGGAAGTGATCCGAATGATTCAATAGTTTGGATGGGTGAGTGAATACTTATACACCATATAGTGAATTTTCAGCCAACATGAAACACATACTGGAAAAATACCTGTTTGTGAGGCTGTACTACCAGCAATGCTAACATGGTTACAATGACATTATTAGCTTGGCGGTATAACGAATTCCATGTTCACCATGTAGAGTCTCAGCACGCTAGAATATTGGGATTAGAAATAAAAACTCTTCCTGGAGTTATTTCTTTCACAGGAACTTAAAACACAATTTTGACCTGATGATTCCAGTAACTTAAAAATCAGTCGACCAAATCAGCCATGAGTCTGCATTCTTCCCACTGGCCAGCAGAGGATGACTCCTCCAGTTTCCAAAAATAAATTGGATGCATAAAAATCTAGAATAAAAAGCTACGTCTTTTTTGGTTTGTGACTTCAGAGCACAAACTCTACAATTTATGGTTTTAACCACGAGTTTCTACATGTGGTCAGAGGTTTACAAACACTCATCACAGGCATTAATTTTTCATTTTTCATCGAATTTCTTTGAATGGATGTTTTTCCAGTGATTGTGCAACATACATCTTTAACGACTTAAAAAACATGAATTGCGTGCAAAGGTTTTTCAGTATAGTTGTGTACTCACATTGTGCAGTGACAGCTATGATGGAGATCAGGAGGACGGCGCACAGCGTTGCCAGGCAGATGGTGGCAAGGCGGTACAGCCTGGGACCACTGGGCCTGGGGAACATTTGCATCACAGGATGACCTGCAGGTGATGGGAAGAGAAAGACGGTTTATTAAATACCTGCTTTAGCACAATTTAGAGAAGTTATTTTCACATATATGGATGATAGTTTCAGTTGATTCTGCAAGATTTAAAATAATCTTTAAACAGGAATTTATAGTAAGTACCTTTAAGAAGAAAAAATCTTTTTTTGTTCTGCAACACTGACAACAGTGACCTTTTTTTAACCTGACATATAAAAGTATTCACACTTTTTGATGACTAAGTAGTGCGTGCAGTGGAGCGCTTTGTCCACAGAGGACTCTGATCTGCTCAGACTTGTAAATGTCAAACATGCTGGAACGCATTCAGGGCGATGCGTTTGACATTTTTAATTATCTAACAAAGCATGACGCAGGTAGGAATTTATTATTTGTTTTTGGGTAAGTGAAAGACTTACAACTAATGTATATTCATCTATCTGAAAATTATAAATGTTAGTAAATAATAGATTTTAAACGTTCTACTTCATTATTTAGGCAAGATTTAGGCAAGAATTTAGGCAAGATGGCGCCGAGTATGGCAGCCTCGTCGCGAGCTCCCCTAGCACCGCCTACAACTGCAAAGCTCTCCAGCGAGTAGTGCGGTGCTCTGAACGGATAATTGGAGGTGAGCTTCCCTCCCTCCAAGACATCTACAGGAAGCGGTGCCTGAGGAAAGCGGGGAGGATCATCAAGGACTCCAGTCACCCCAGCCATAAACTGTTCAGACTGCTTCCATCAGGAAGGAGGTTCTGCAGCATCCGGTCCCGTACCAGCAGACTGAGAGACAGCTTCTTCCATCAGGCCATCAGACTGCTGAACACGTCATAGACACCTCAGCTTCACTACGGGAACTGCAACACTATGCACTCCACACTGTATATAAATGCCACTTGTTTTGCACATATTCAACTCTGTATATTTTTATATATTTTATTATTATTATTATTATTTTATTTTTTTTACTATTTAATTTGTAAAAATGTGTATACACACACACACACACACACACACACACACACACACACACACACACACACACGTAGGAAAATATTTAGTATACACATCCAGAAATGCATACACTATTATATATTGTACATATATTTATTAGTTTCAGGTTGGCCATTCTTGTATTTTGCTCGTTTGTGTTGTTGTGTTTGCACATCTCTGTTGCTTGTGAAGCTCGCACACAAGAATTTCACTCGCATGTGCTGTGCCAGTGTGCCTGCACATGTGATGTGACAATAAAAGTGATTTGATTTGATTTGATTTGATTATTTATCAAAGATCACTTTTATATTAAAAATAAAAGCATTATGTCACCAGACAAAAAAACACCATGTCCATAATATAAAAACACAAAAGCAAACAAAACCATCACAAAGGGCCTTAATATGCACACAAAAACATGAAAGCAAGCTATTCTAGTAGTTACCAAAAACCAAACTACAAGGAACGCGTTACAAGAATAAGAGCTCATCTGAAAAAAGGAAATCCACAAACTGAATTGAAAACAAACAAATAAACATGAGAGCTTTGATTGGGCCCTTTGACACACAGTCTGCTAGTGACTGAGCTTAGCCTGCTGCTGCCATGGCTGCATTTTGAACTCATAATCAGTTTCTGCATGTTATTTTAATTAATTTAATTAATAAATAAAACTATATTTTGACTTCACAGTTTTAGTCTTTTATTCTTATTGCAGACTGACTCCAGTGTATAAAAGTTGGATTTAGTATCTAAAAGCTCAGGGCTGGTTCAAAGAAAACCACTAATGTTCCCACGGAAGGAGGAAGGAGGAGGCTCCGAGTATAAAACCCTATACTTGAGTACGTAAACCTTAAAGATTGAATTCAGGTTTACACCATCATGTCTGTCTGTTATGTAACACAGAGTTTGGGACTTTGTAAAGCACTTTGATAATATATCTAAAAAATTTTCTGTTGATAAATGTTTTTTTCCTTTATCTTTTTATTATCCTTGTAACATGTAAGTAAACAATTACCAGTGAAAGCCTGCAGAACTATGAAAATTAAATGACTGATACGAGAAAAACAGCACTTTCATGTGAGAAGCTGCAAAGTGAATCCTGAAGATAAACATGTACAAAAGTTAACGTAACAAATCTCAGTTTGACATTTTGTTGTCTCCATAGTGATAACACACCGTGTCTACAGTAACAGGACAAAGTCAGTTGTTTTAAAGCAAAGATAAACGAAACCGTCTGCATTCCTCCACAGAGGCACATCTGCAGGGTTAAAGTTTAACTGCTTACCACGGTGTTCCACATCTGGCCTGTGGGGTAAGTCGTCATGACAGGACTCGTCGTCTATTAGTTGGGAGTACATCCCCTCACAGTTCAGGGAGCTCCCGGTGGTCGACATTTCACCGCTGGAAGACAAATAGAAGAAAACTAATGTTCTTGGTGGAGGGTGACGCTCTGAGTCAAAGCTCCACCACAGCTGTGATTATAAACAGCTGGGGTTAAACCAATGACTGTAGAAATGACTGTTTTCTACAATCATCGGGGGTTTCCGGTTATAACTTTCAAAATAAGACTTTTCGGTAACTCGAGTGATTACGTGCTATGAAAATCCTTAAAAAGACGACAAAGAGACATCCAAACCCCCACAAAACAAAAAAATAACAATTATTATAACTACAAAAACCAAAAACCACAGAGGAACTAAAAAAAACCCTGCCCAAATAACCAGCAAACAGACTGATAATAAAGCAACAATATGTACACAAAGTCTACGTTCACACCGCAGGTCTTAATGCTCAATTCCGATCTTTTGATCAAATCCGATTTTTTTGTCTGCTTGTTCACACTACAAATAAAATGCGACAACAAACGCGCTCTAGTGTGAACGCTCAAAGCGGCCCGCATGCGCAAAAGAAGATGTCACACACAACGCGCTTTGTTTAGACCCAGAGCAAACAATATTGTTTGACTGATGGCCCTAAAGACTTCACGTTTCCCAGTTTTTGCTTTAAGTTATTTTGTTATTTACATAATAATGTAGATAACCTAATAATGATCCTTATTGCTGTTTTAGAGAAGAGCGATGCTTCAAGTTTGCGTGGTAATTTTGGGTGTTTTGTGCTGGCTACGTTCACACTGCAGGCGAAAGCGCATCTATGACAGTGTGAACGGCACAAATCCGATATTTTCAAATCCGATCTGGGTCACTTTCGTATGTGGTACTGAATCCGATACATATCCGATGTTTTAGAAAGCGACTGCTGTTTGAACGGTCATGTCGCATTAAATCCGTCTTTTACGTCACTGACACAAGACAGACGCCAATTATCAGCGCCGGGGAAGCGCCTGGCCATCCGGTGAAACTGCTGGGAAGACAACGTTGGAGAAACGTTAACATTTTATTTGTACTGCATAACCTGCAGATTCTGACAGAAATCTGCAATGGCCAGTTAGAGGTTAAACTCGACCTCAAAAACATGTAAACAAACAATTAAGTCCATGAAACAAGAAGTGAAATAACTGAGAAAGACTAAAAAACAAATGTTCTTTAAATGAACCAAATAAACACTCTAAAGTCAAGAATAGAGTCTACATTACTACATTGCAGGACATTTGAGTGTCACCCACCTGGTTGTTCACCAAACCCTATTATGGCCTTCACACTCTTATTTTATAGCATTAAATTTGCTGACTTTTCTTAAAGTGGCCTAAAATACAGACTCAAAAAGGGCATCTGGTATAAATCCAAACCAAATGTGCTGGAAGCTAAGACGACCTTTCAAAATAGTCTTTTGTCTTCACAATACTGTTTTATAAAAAAAGAAAAAGAAAAAAGGAGCACATCTATATATATTTTCAAACTAAAAGAACCAAAAACATTTTGAATTCAAAGCCTAAACTTCACTTTCCATTAAAATGCAGTCTTTTTATTTAAAACGAAACATATTTGTTTTCCTGTGTTCCCATAGTTTACATTTTCTCTGGTGTTAAAAATAATATAATTCTAACAATATTTGAGGATTTTTTTTAAGGAACCATTTGCATGCTATAGCGGATTTTTACGTGACAGAGGGGGAGAGAAAGAGGCAACAATCAGAGACAACATCATCACATTAGAAAGGTATAGTAATCATCCACAACTATTTTCAGTTGCGGATGTTAAAGGATTCATAAAGTTTATCCATGTAGTGAATCCTATGTATACAGTTCCCAGCAGGAAAACACTCTCCCAAATAATCATCCTAGGCCCATATGACAGAGAATGTGCATCCTCTTTTTGTTTTGCATATTTTAATTTATATTTTATTTTGTTGTGGTTTGCATTGTTTTGTGTTGTTTCACTTTAAATTTCTTTAAAAGGAAAAAGCTGAAAATTCAAATAGTTAAAAGTTGAAATATAAATAGTTGGTTTTTGTATTTTATAATTTATTTATAACATTTTATGTGGAGTGAATAAATAAAGTTTATTTACGTGGCCCCTAAAACACAATAGAAGTGCTCCAGGATCCTAGTGGCTACAAGCCAGGAAGTATGATTTGGTGTGTGGTAGTAACAGGTAAATGAACATATTTTTAAATTTATTTGAATATATATGAGTGTTTTTGTATAAATATACAAACAATACACATATGCTTTCAATTGTGTCATGTAAGTAATCTAGGTAGCTCTGTACGTGCTTTGGAGTTTGTACGTGCTTTGTCTCTAGGGGCCACCGTATATATTTTTGTAGAAACATTTATAAATAAAACCACTTTTGTTTACATTAGTAATTCCTTTTGTGCATAATTTTATATTGTTGTTGATAATAAATTAAAGTGACAAAACAACCTGAAGAGCCGGTTGGGAGCCGAAAGAGCCGGTTCTCTTGTGTCAGAAGCATGTGGTGATGCAGGAAGAGTTTGGCTGCAGACTAATGGCAGAGTTTTCTGTTACAAATTTTACCTTTATGATTTATTTCCCTTGGAAATTTTTTTCTTGATCTTGTTCCACACTTTGAATCTATCAACATACATATTTACTCCTTATAGGATGACTGCAACTAAAATAAAATAAATTAAATTCGTTTAGATTGTAATTTGATGACTTTTCCAAGAAGTGGCCCAAAATACACATGACAAAAATGTTTACAATTTTACATGGGTGTACAGACCTTTGTACATTGAGGCTGTTCCTGGTCAAATTTGACTTGTATCAATAGAGATGGACTTTAGATCCACTGGTGTGGGTCAGATAAAACAGTATGGTGATTATAGGGATTCTTGAGACTGTGAACTAACTTGAAACTGTCTGTTTGTATATTTTATGGAACAATGTTAATGTTCGAAGGTGACCTTGACACTGTCACAAGAAACGTCACAAGAACAGAGACAGAAACCTGCTGGTCTTTGAAGGATCATGGTGGAATCTCCAAACAATGCGATAGTAAAACAGCACAGGGGCAATCATATCTGATGCACATAAAGGATAGTGACCATGTAAAGGTCAAGGAGAGGGTGCCTTGGCACAGACATGAAGCCTGACATGTGGTGGCATGGTGGACTGACAGCATGAAGCTTCCTGGTTCCTTTATAGGTGGAGTTTGCAAATGTACCACGTTACATTTCTCTTGCTTCCTCCCACAGTGCAAAGACATACACGTTAGGCTAATTTAATTCTAGAAAGGATGTGGATGTGAGGTAGATAAAGTGCTTTAGGTGCATAGGGTAAAGTCCTGTATTAATTTATCGCCTGTAAAAAATATAAAGTGTGACTTTGAGTGGTCAGTAAGAATAAAACATAAAAGTGAGTTTATTATATTACAGGTGGCAAAGGCCCAGCTCTAAACAGCACAGACAGATCCAGTCCTTAAATGCAACGCAGTAGTTTTAGAATAGAACAGAATTTAACTTTATTGTCATTGCACATGTCACAAGTACAAGGCAACAAAATGCAGTTTGCATCCATCCAGAAGTGCTTTAGCCATAATATAGATATATTACAATATATATTAGCAATAATATAGATATACAGATATATTACAGAAATGGGTCTATTATGGGTATGTTATAATGCACACGGTATGAAGGTATGTTATGAATATGCTATAAATATAAGTATGTACAGGCTATGAACAGGATATAAGTAGGAAAACTATAGAGAAATATGAAATGCAAGTTATAAACAGTTGTAGAATGATATATTGCAAAGAGGGCATCAAGTCTGCTGTGGATTAAAAGGGGCAACCCATGGATCACATAAGCTACGTAGACATGAGTCACTCAGGCTGGGGCATCTATGGCTTTATTTCCCATCAAATTGCAGCCGCATTGAAAAAATTTTCTAATCATGTGTGAAGATATTACTGGACCAGAAGATGTCACCATTACACAGTTTACTCAACTTTCAAACCACCAAGTTTCTAATATGAGGCACTGCATGATATCAGGAGCTAGCCCAGATTGTAGCATCAGCACTCTTGGTGGTCAGACGTCATGACCTGCTGTGGTTATTTGAAGGTGATGAGATGACCTGCCACATCTGTTTGAGGTGATGTCACAGCCTGTGGAGCAGAGGTATAATGCCCTGTTTAGTTTTATCTCCTTTGTACGGCTAAAAAAGGCAGCAAGTTTAAGCAGGTAAAACTTTTTAAAAATGTATTTTATTTTTGTTTAATTTGCTTTGACTTATTAAAAAGTTTAATAGTATCTTATGTTAGATTTTTCTAATCTAGACATGTACAAAATCATCCATCAATATATTTATGATACCATATGGTCAGTTTTCAAATGTATTAAATTAAAAAAAGCTAATACACACAAATAAAGTATAAAATAGACAGGGTCTAACTTGCATCATAGAGCAGAAAACTTATTTATTCATAGATAAAATGGTCAAATCTGAGTAGACAATCACAAATGAACGGGAAAATTACTATACACAGCTGTAAGCACTGAAAGAAAATCAATTAATATGTACCAGCGAGCTTAAGTGACAGTCTTTTTAAAAAAATGCATTAAAAAAATTACACATGCAAAAGTTTCTGGTTTGCAGAAAACAAATAAAAATTACATTTTCAACCACTCTTTGATATGGTGTACTGATTAGCTATTAAATCATTACCTCTAGCATCACATCTCCTTCCGTAATATTATACATTTGAATATTTGAAAAAGTGTTCTTGTCATGTTTGTACAACACATGATGGCGCTGTTTACTCACAGAAGAAAGATTTGTTGTTATCGTGATGGAGACTGTGTCATAAATAAGCAGCAGTTTTGCACCGTATTTTTCACTATTATTTACATACAACAGTTATCTTTTCTTTACAAGAGGTTAAGAAAATATTAAACAGTAACAAATCAACACACAGTGTAAAGATATCTGACTTTCAGTGTTTGAAACAGGCCAGTCTCAAACATCAATTTCAAAAGACCAAAAAGTGTAATGTTTCATTTTGTTAACAGTTACAAGGTCACTGTTCATTTATTCTTAAATGAAGCTTTCTGAGATTCATTCTCTGATATTTTATAATCACTTAGTGGGAAAATTTCCTGATTCATTTTTTTGCTTCTG